AAAGCCGTTAGCACTGTGAAATCCTACCTCTTTGCAAGTGGGTTGTGTGAGTGAGACAGCTGCTCATTCTGCAGAAACATCCCACAGGAGCAGAGAGGTAAAGAGCCAAGCTCTGCACTCAGGATCCCTCTGAGCTCCCTCTCCTGAGGCTCTGTGTGGGGTTTCCATTGACATCTGTCTTGTGAACGTGGTTCTGGGAGGGGTTCTCAAGGTTGTCAAGCCTGTTCCAGATAGTGCCACCACAGGGATTCCTGGTGAAGGTTCTCACACTGTGTCCCTTAGAGGAGGCTCAGCATGGCTCAGATGTCCGGCTGTACCAGTCCAGCCACCTTGCTCTAGCCAAGGGCAGATTGGCCCACAGTGGATGATGACTGTATCTGATTAGGGTGTGTATAGATCTGCTGTAGCCAAAATAAAACCAGAAACCAGTGCAAAATCCGGGTCAGGAGGTGCACTGAAGTCCTTGATGGGCAGGCAGCAGGTTGATCTGTTCCCAGTATTTTAGAGCAATATAATGTAGTCAAATACCTTACCTGTCCAGTGTCTCTTCTCTTTTATTATACAAGATTTTTCAAGACACAGCAGTCTCTGAACTTGAAACTGGACTATTAGTTTCTGTTCACACTCCTTTAGCATTTAAATTCAGCTGTTCTTGAACTACTTATGGCAGATTGAGGACTTCTAACTGAAAGTTTGCTTTCTACTTATTTGTGTACACGGAATTTCTTCTTTAAAAAAAAACCCAAAAACTTGCAAACTTCAATTTGAAATCAGAACTAGAAATAGATTTTGTTATACACCAGGGAAAGTTCCCACAGGCCACCTTTGATATGCATGGTTTGCAAACTTATTTGCCTACTCTTTCCTCATGTGGTAGGCTTTGACTCTTTGTGGTAGGCAGATCTGGAAGGACTAGGTTACATAGATTTCTATAGCCATTACTGATGCAGCACCAAGATTTTAGGGCCATTGTAGTTCATTTACCAAATATGCAAGGTATTATGTTCAGTATATTTTTTGTAGTAAAATAAAGTGAGGTGACTTTGTATATTTATTTGGCCAGAGTTGTGTTTGTTTTCACTATTTTTTTTAAGAGGAAATGTAGTTTTGAGTAAGGCATTATGTTGTTTTAGAGTAATAATCTATTTTTTACAGCAGGTTAGAGTGGGGACAGATGTAAAGGGCTATGTCAAAATTTCTGAATTTAATAGCACTCGGGTCCCTTTGGAATGAGAATAAGGATGCCTGGCTCTGAATCACAGCTGAAAAAAAGTTCTAAAGTCCTAAATTCCCCAAGGTGAGCACTAAAGAAAAGAAGGCAGCAAGGAGGCAGAAGCAACTTACTAGAGAGAGGAGAGAGGCTGTAATGTCGGCCCCAGTGTTTGCTGCAGGCTACAGTGGTGAGGCTGCTGAAGGCTGGGACATTTGTTTGATTTTGTTTGTAAGTTTTTAGTCTAATCCTGTAGAGTAAGACTAAGAATTGAAAAGATGTACAAAGATCTAAAAGCTGGCATCACTTACTGCAGAATGTGTCCTAAGCCAATTAGGTATGGGCTTCCCATAGGGTGTTGCTAAGTATGACTAGTTTTCTGATAAGATTTTAGTTTAGTTTAGGGCTGGATTGATCTTTACTTGATTTCTGTTTCATTATTTAGACAATTGTCTACTTTTTCTTTCAATACTCTCCAGGATCTGTAATCTCAAGCTGATGGGGTTGATCATGTCATGTTACTTTGGGCAGTAGCTATGAAAGATTATTGCCCTTCTCATGAACATCAAAGGTAACAGTAATGAAAAGTCGCTCAAACAGGTGTTAGAAAGGCACACACAAAAAAGAAATCCTTAGACAATTTTGGTGACTGCAAGGTACCGAACCTTCTGTATGAATTTTGACTTGGTGGACACTCAGCATGTGTGTCTTTCTTCTTTCCATGAATCATGGACAATAAAAAAATACAAGACTTCCCACCCTACAAACAAATGCCAGTGTTTGGGAGTTGTACTCTATTCCTTTGCTTTTTTCAGGAGCCAAGCAAGGCTTTCTCAAAATGCTGTCTGCAGCAGCAAAGGCACCAGTGTCATTCATCTGGAGACTAAAGGGTACAGCATTGTTTTCTTTTATAGCAGACAATTTTTCTCTGTCATTTTTGAAGCTGGAAAAAGACTTTTACAATTAAAAAATATTGTACTGCTGTTTCAGAATTTGTGAATAGAAGTTTTAATTACATTCTGACATAAAGAATGAAAAATAACACAGTAGTGACACACAGGAAGCAAGTTCTGGCAAGATGGGGTGCTCCATAGGATGTTGTCTTGTGGTCTCGTTCACATGAGGTAGCTGTTTGATTCACAGATTCTGTTTACACGGCAGATATTTTTTTAATACACAGTGAGTTTGTCACCTAGCTGCAAAATTAATGTAAAGCTCTGGGTGAGGTCATTTATTATACTTTTTATTTTTTAAGGCTATGAAAAAGAAGCTTGTGGAATAATGTATGTGTTAAGTCTAGTCCACTTATTTTAGAAAGTGTTATATTCTTCTAAATGCATACAGTTTTCTTAAATTCTCACATGGTTCACTTTTTTCCAGAAGTATGTACAATATTTTCTCTAAAAACAGCAGCATCTATCACACAAATATCACACATCTTTCATACACATATGCACATTTGTTATTTCAGTTCTTATGGTTACTCTGAGGAGTTGTCTTTTAGATACTATTTTACCTACCTGTGTGATGGCAGTAGATAAAGGATTTACTGTACCTTCCATAGGCAGTAATTTATCAAACTTTTTTCTCTGCTAATGTACTGATACACAAAAAATGCTTTGGGCAGATGTTGAAGACTATTAGTGTTGTATAGTTAAAAGGTCAGCTTTGAAATAACAATTATTTTGAGGAATTAAAAGGTTAAAACAATTTATGAGATTTAGGTTTAAGGTACATCCTACAGAGAATAACTTAAAAATTCTTTCTTTACTGGATGCTGTTCACAGATGACAACTGCAGAAACTTCAAACAGAAATTGCTTTCTATACTTTAGTGCTCATGTCTGATATGCTGAAAATCTAAATAAGATCTACAGTATTTCCTGTGTGTGGTACAATGCTGTGGGGTGGTGGAAGTCGATCCTGCACTGGGATGTAGAAGAGGGAAGTGAATGTAAGAGGTGAAAGAGAGAAGGAGAGGTAAAGGTTTTTCTAATGGGAAGAGTTCATCCAAAGCCATTGCCTGTCTCTGATGCCTGTTTAATGTAGATCTCATCAAATTTGCAGATGACATCAAACTGGGGGAGCAGCTGACATGCTTGAAGGCAGGGCTGCTCTTCAGAGGGCCCCAGACAGGAACATCATGGAATCCAGCAAGGACAAATACCAGTTCTTGCCCTGGGAAGGAGCAATGCTGGCAGATTTGCAGAGTGAGACCTGATAAGTTTGGGAGCAACTCTGCTGAAAAAGAGCTGTGGGTCCTGGTGGGCAGCAACATAAACACATGCCAGTCTTGTACCCTGGCATCAACACAGTGAACAGCATCCTGGGCTGCATTAATACCCTGCAGATTGAGGGAAGTGGTAATCCTCCTTTAGCTGGCACTCACAAGTCCACATCCAGAAGACAGCATCCCATTTAGTGGATGGGATGAGAATTTTGCATAAAGGGAAGATACTGATGAGCTGAAGCAAGTTCTGTGCCTGTGGAAGCTGGAGCACATGCTCCCTAAGGAGATGCTAAGGGAGGAGTGGGCTTGTTCAGCCTGAAAACAGGGTTTTGAAGGGACCTACTGCTACATAAAAGATTGTTATGCAGGAGATAGAGACATACCCTTCACAGTGATGCCTGGTGGGCAGGACAGGAGAGAGCAGATGGGACTTGAGAGGACTTGAGAGGAAAGTTCCAGGCAAGGTATAAGGAAAATTTCTGTCACTATGAAGTCAGTCAAGCAGTGTGCTTCTGCAGCTTCTGTCCTTTGTGATTTTCAAGACCCAGCTGGTCAAACAGCCTTGAACTGGTCTGACCTCAGAGATGACCCTGCCTTGAACTGAATTGGAGTAGGGACCTTCTGAGTTCTCTCTCAGCTTGAGTGGTTCTGTGGCTCTAGGACAAAGCTTGGAGCCAAAACTTCTTTTTTTGCTTATTTTTTGGGATATGGTTATAAGCAAATGGTTCAGCCTCTGTAGATGTCAGCTATAAGTTGTCAGTGGAGGTAATGCTGTTTGTTTGCCTCAATGCTGTTGCAAAAGAAGATATATGGAAGGTGATGATATTCTGCATGCATTGTCAAAGTGGGTATAGATGCAGTTAGGCTTTTACAGTGCCTAAGAAGCTGATAGAGAGGGTACTGTGCATCTCTAGCAGTAACTGTGAAGCTGTTTTCTGTGGATTTACTTTTGTGAAACCCCACCATATATATATTTTCAATATATATTGTCAATCACCTTAAAAGGTAGTGAGCAGCTAAACGTGTCAGTGTTAGCAACAGCTCTGACAGCAGTCTCGCTATATGCTTCTGCCAATTATGGTCACATTTGTCATATTTTCCTAGTTAATATTTTTTTTCCTGCTATGGTGACTGTTTCTGTGGGCTTCTCATCAGAGGTGAAGCAGACTTAGCTGCCTTTACATCAGGAGCACTGTACTGGTTCTGTCCTGTGTATCAAATGTACAGCTCACTGCTTGATAAACTGAGAAGTCTGTTTTTTCCCCCCTCACACCTTTCAGCTTTGGTGATCTTTTCTAAGAGATTTTTAAAGCTGTCCTACAATTTTTTCACATAAATAAGGAGTTATTTTAAAAAGAAGAACAATAGCACCCATTGGAAAAGGTTACTGAAAATTGTTTTGTTTTTGTGGCATTTCAACTTTATAAGAGTCTTTGAGGTAACATTAGAGCTGGCAGAGGAGTGTACATAGATGTTTTAAGAAATCTTGGGAATCTGTAATACCTTTTTTTTTAACTGTTTCTTTTTTTTTTTCTTTTCCCTCTCTACCTGTCCTCTGCAGGAAATAAAGAAAGACATGAAGAAAGAAAATACTGCCAACAAACCACCAGAGAAGCCTATAAATGAAGTTTCCAATGGAAGCCCTTTACTGTTGTCTGAGACAATTATTAGAACCAACAGAAAAGGTACAGTATATGGACATTAAATGCAGAATACATTCAGGCCTTCCAAAGAGCAAAATGCAAACCTTTCTTGTTTCTAGAAATAAAGCTTGAGTCTATTTAACTGAAAAGGCATAGCAAGAATAATAACAGTAACAAAAATCTTTGTCCTCTTGAATTGGCATATATGGATGCACATATAATATTTCCACATTAATTTGCACAGACATCCCTTTCTTTTTAAGGAAATCCCTTCCCCATACATTTAATTAAGGAAAGCTATATGAGGAGATTGCTAAAGCTTATTTTAATAAGGAACTGGCAGCTTGCATATATGGAGGTTTTTGCTCAGGGATGTCACTCTACATTCACATATTCATGCTTTATCTGGGACAGAGAGCTCTAAAAAAAGTGGGGGGGAAAGGTGGAAAACATACTACTTAATGCATTAGTTTCTTGGGAAGTGTTTTTCACTGTCTTTCATTTGAGACTGGAATATGTGCTCTTCATGTCTGGCTTGACTCCCAATGCAGATTCCTATGTAGGGTTTTGGGCTGCTAAAATGAAAGCCTCCAAATCTTCTCTCTCATTCCCTAGCTCCCAGCTCTGCTTTCGGAAATATCAGAACAAAACAAAAAAATTGCAATATAAATGCAGGATTTTTCTTTAGGTTATGTTTATGCTCCTGTTTGTTTGTAGGAGGACAATTGGCTCTGTGCAGGAGATGAGCAATAATTTTTTTCTGCAGAATTCACAGGACAGTTTCCTGCTTGCTGTCTTATACAGAATAATCTGCTGTCATTAATCATTGCCGTAATGTAATTTCCATTTTGGCTTGTCTTCTATACTGTTAGGACTGTTATGGACATTTCCTCTTATGCATGATCAGCTAACATTTTATCTGAGCTGCAGTTTCAGTAGAAATCTTATACTGACGGTTTACAACAGCAAGTGAAGAAGAATTGATTTTTGAAAAATGTATGACTTCCTTTAAAATGTGAAGCAGACTAATCTCTACCTCTTCTGCAAAGATTGATATCCTCTGAAAGAAAAGACTGGAAGTAAATCTCATAAAACTTTGTCTTTTGAGCTTGCAATGTCTTCTTGAATCTGGAGACATGTCCAACATTTCTGCTTTGGGTCATAGGTTTTTCAAGCAACAGCAGAATTCAATTACTCAGAATTATTATTTTTCATGGCTGCTATACAGAGCCATATGAGTAGTTAGGAAATTATCTAGGGACCAAGTTTGTTCCATATTGCTTCAGCTGCTATTTGGAGAAGGCTAATAGCTGTGGCAGATGCAGAGATTTGGTTCAGTCACAAGGGGATAGCACTCCAAATATGATTCTTACAGCACTTTCTCCTCCTCTTTCTTCCCTCTGGCTAGAAGCTTTGAAGGAATCAGGAGAGGAAGATTTTTCTGTCTCTTTCTGAAGAATACAAAACCTCATATTTACTGAAAGGAGAAAAGCAAAGTCTGACATGAAGATCTGTAAATTGAGGTAGGGTTAGGTTTGGAAGTAGCAGATTTTGTATTGGGATGTTATTTCACTGGACTTTGTTGGTGGGGATTGCACTTCTCATGGCCACCTGTACACCATGTCAGGCTTGGTGCACTGTTCATGCTGACTGCTTCTCCACAGCCATTTCCATTGCTGCAGAAAAAACAGGTCCAGGAGGCCATGATCTGGCAGCACAGCCAAGGATGCACTGAGGACAACAAGGACAAGAGAACTTCCCTTTGTTTTTCCTGGGATCAGTTTGAGCATTGTGCCACAGTAGCTTTGTTTAAGTGTGAGCAGCTGAGCAAATAGTTACTGCTGTGTACAGAAAGATTTTTCTAAGATCTTTGTTGCCAATCTCCTTGTGGAAAGTGTTGCCATATCATACTGAAGAGGGAGCCCTAAATGCCATGGGTGTTATTTTCTTCAAGTGTTCTTGTCCTGGGACTTCTATTAAATCCTAACTCAATCTGTTTCCTGATCACAGAATGTGACCAGAAGGGCACAAAGGAGGGTATAGGGTGTTTGTGTTTGGTTCATTGGTTGGTTTGTTTCCTTTTTTCCTCTTTGTTATTAGGAAGTGAGGAGGACAGGGATGCATCCTAAAGGTCTTTAGCCACTGTTCAGCAGTGAAAATGATAGGCAGTAGTGTTTCTTTACTTGGGAAATGTTATACTGCTGCTTGCAACTTCAGGGAAGATCCAGTGATGTGGGAGGGAAGGATTCTGTGCTGTTGCATTGTTTTTATTACCAAAATGATGATAAGTGCTATTCTACTGCTGTGGTATTATATTGTGTAGTTTTACTACTTAGCTTGGTTGGCCTAATTTAAGTGTCAGCACTTTAGCAAGCTTTTACGTTTTGAGGAGAAGAATCTTGGCCTCTTGGGCTTCTGGCTTGTAGAGAGTTTTTCCTTGAGAAATATTGACAAGTGTCCAACAGTGGTATTCAAGTAAAATAGCTAAGTTATTTTTAAGAAGCATCTAAGTAACTAAGAGGAAAAGAATGAATTTCTGAACTAAAAAGGTATTTAGGATCCAACTTTATATCCTGGTTTTTTTTGTGCTAATTATTTCTAACTACTGTGTTGAAATTAGGGGTTCTAATAATAAAATCAGTGTAAATTGAAATAAGTGGCTGCATAATACTTATTTTCTGACTGGGGTTAAACCACAACAGTAATGGGTGTTACTGCTTTGGGTTACATGTGTAGTGTAGGAACAAATAAAAGGTGTAACCCCACCAGCAGTAACTTACCTGGGTTATTATTTCCATTACATAGAGAGGGTTACAACTGGTTGTATGTCACCATTTGTGAATCACTCCGGTTTTTGTTACAAAGGCCAAGAGGAGATGGAAGGATTTGAATTTTCTGCTTTTCACTGTGGGCAGTAAAACCAGAATATGTCTCATCCTTTAATGATTCTTGTTGACCACAGATATTAGTGACCTAAGGGAAACAAACAATAGTGATCACTGCTGTGGTGGACATAATTAAAGAAATGCTATTACACCTGGCCTTGATGTATTTGTGTAGCTATTTCCTCTCTTTACAGGGTTGTAAGTACAATCTAGAAGTCAGGGCTACACCTAAGAAATAATGGGGTTATTTTCTAGATCTGCCACGCAGTTGCTATGGAACTTTTGCTAAATCACTTAAACTGTTGGCCAAATTGCCACACTTATCTTCCTAGGTCAGGTATTTTAATATGTATTGATTTTTCAGCTAGGCAGGGCTTTATTTTTTCTGATTTATTGCAGTGACATACCCAGATTTATGAGTAACTTCCATGTATTTCAGGTGTCTCTGCCTTAGGCTGTCTCTTGGCAAAACCTGGTTTATACCTGTCTCATTAAGAGCTGTTCCAGCATGGCAGTGGTGGCAGCTGACATCCAGGAAAATGAACATTTTAGCTGAGCACTGTCATGGGGTCATGCTTCACCCCTGAAAGGCTCAGCAAGGGGCCATTTGCTGCGGTGTAGGGATGGGGTTGGGGATCACGATGGCCTTGTGCTTTCCCTGGCTGTTCCCAGGGCTGCAGCAGCTCTAGGCTGGTTTGATGGGTGCTTCAGCTGCTGCAGCTTCAGCCCTGCCTAGGGGAAAAGGCTGTGGCACTGAGGCACCTGTCTGAAGCTGTAGGCATGTCAGATGTTGGTTGGCTTGCATATCCATTGCCAGAAACTGTGAGGGATCATTCTTTTGCTTCTTCCTATAGCTCATGAGCCAAGAAAATCCTTTCCTCACCACGAGTGGGTCTTTGAGTATAACTTTTCCCTGCTTCAAATTTTTTTGTTGGCATATAGAACTATTGTTCTAAAACTTTAATAAAGCTGACATTTAAAAAAAAAAAAAAAGCTTAAAATAGCTTTTTTCTATTTAGAATTGGTATTGTTTCACTTTGGTAATAGCAGGGTCGGAAAGCCTTTTCTTCCCCAAGAACATTTTCAGATTGTTTGAAAAAAGCAAAATTATTGCTGTTGTTGCAATTATTTAATAACATAAGAAAATTACAACCAGGTCTTGGAACAGAAAAGATATCTGAACTGAAAGATATCTTTTTTTTCCTTAAATGCTTTTCCAACATGGTGAAATTCTATCTCTTCTAAGTTAACTTTCAAAATCTAAAAACAGATCCAGAGTTGTGCAACAGTGTCAAGTCTGTCATAAATTTAGTACAATCTTCATTCAGGTGTAAAGGGATATGATGGAAACTTGCCTTCAATAATCTTTAAGTGTTAAATGTCCATAGCTTATTTTAGAGTAGTTTTGTTCTGATTTTTGAGTATCCTATTTTTAAGTACCTTATTCATTGCGCTGTTTAGTGTGTCTGGGAACAAGAGCCCACTTGCTCAGGTCAAGTTTCAAAACTGGAACTGATAGACTCTATTTTGTAAGTGAACTAACAACAATTGTTATATGAGTAAACATATTTGAGGCAAAGATATATTGCCTTGTCAGATATATTTGTTTTCTATAAACTGTAATTGCCGGCTGCGTTGAGCCAGCAAATCTGGAACAGTTTATCACGTGTTACATGTTCTTAATCAAAGCCAAATACTGAAAGCAAGGAAAGTTTTTTCTAGTTCTTTTGAGAATTATTTAATTTACCTTCCAGCCTACATTTAAATAATAGAGAGCATTTGCATGCAATGCTAAAAGGGAAGTTTTGTGTAAATAGGTTTGATGATATAATAGGTTTAATTTAGGAATAAATAACAAGTCTGTTGCATGCAAAATGGAGATTTAAGTCAATTTTTGTAAATTAGAAAAATGGGAAAAGTATTTTGCAAGAAAAAGGTTTCCTCTTTTGTTAGATAGTTTTTTTGTTATTTAGATATAAAAAGGCACCCCATTTATCAGTAACACAAGCTGTTGGCTTCTCAGCATATGAGTGTGTTGACTCTGAATCTTATAGTAAATAATCTGTGTAAGCTATGATTCTGGTCATATTTTTCAACAGAAAGGCAAACTTCAAAATCTTTCTCATAAAATATTTTATTACCAAGAAGTGCAAGAGA